CACATGTAGACATATAAGTAAGTATAGACATACACACACCTCAGATTCTCATTTTCTATCCTGTATGAAGCACAAACTGGATCCAAGATACACACAGCTCAGATTGTAGTACGTGATAAGATTAGAAAAGGAGGGAGAGCATTTTACCTGGAGATAATCTTAGCACAGAATCCTACGCAGGCAACTCCAACACAGCCTGCATGACTCTCCACCTCTGATGTGGGGATCCCCATTTCCACATCCAGTTTCCCGCATTTTATTCATTCATGCTACCTAACAAGAAGGGCACTGTGCATGCAAACCAACACAACCAAAGACTAGGACCATTCATTGCAATCCCTGAACACAGCAATTGTCACCATGAGCCAGTCTTCTGTGCAAGAAGATGACTGGTAACAGAAGAAGGATTCACTGCAAGAGAGGCAGGAGAATCCCCAGAAAAGCCTTGGAGACAAAACAGAATCCTTTGTGATTTCAGAGAGAAGACTGTGTGAGGGAGTTGGTTGCTTTCCCACAGATGTATAAACATTTTCTGATGTCTTAAATTTTGTGCCTGCAGGAAATTCCTGTGGTTTCTGCAACTTAGGTTCTGCAACTAAAGTCTCCAGAAAGCCACTCAGAGAAGGTTTTCCAAGAGGAAAAGCCTAAGCATTGGAAATGTGCAACTCGCTCTCCAAAGGGAGTTGGAGACTGGTTGCACAGAAGTTGCAGGCCTGTAGGTTGTAGAGCTGAAAGCAATTATCCCTCCCAGTCCAGACCCAGAGGCAGTAATACTCAGTAGTTATAACCCTCTGTGGCAGACTGGCACCCATTTGGGAAGTAGGGTCATAAAGCCCAGGATCATAAACAACCTCTTTGCCCCATTCAGTTATGACTGTTTTGTGTTACAGGAGATGCTAAGCCTCCTGGAGAACTAGTATTTCCAGGTATCTTATTAGGACTTTGACCTGGAGAAAAGATTGAGATTTTCCTAATGCTAGTATAGGAGCATGTCTGGTATGGGATTATCTAGGCAGTGCTATTGTTTGCAAAAGGCAGCCTTCTACTTCAATCTACTAAAGCAAGCAAAACTTAGCACAACATACGATGTATTTCAGTGTAATCTGGAGACAGAGCAACATGCCTACCATCAACCACCCTTTGCATTATTATAGACTGAAGAATCCAGTCTCCTGCTTCACTAAATTATGTTCTGGTGTAGCTAGAAATGTTGTGGGTTTTCTTTTTTTAGAATCATAGAATGGTATCATCGGCAAACTTGCTGAGGGTGCATTAAATCCCACTGTCCATGTCTCCAAGATGTTGAACAACACCGGTCCCAATATCAACCCTTGAGGGACACTACTTGTCACTGGTTTCCACTCAGACTTTGAGCTGTTGACCACAACTCTTTGAGTGCGACCATCCAGCCAGTTCCTTATCCACCAAGTTGTCCATCCATCAAACCGACATGTTTCCAATTTAGAGACAAGGATGTCATGTGGGACGGTGTCAAATGCCTTGCACAAGTCCAAGTAGATGACATCAATTGCTTTAGCCTTATCCACCAATGTTGTAACCCATCATAAAAGGCCACCAGATTTGTCAGGCATGACTTGCCCTTGGTGAAGCCATGTTAGTTGTCATCAATCATATTCTCATTCTCCATGTGTCTTAGCACAGTTTCTAGGAGTATTTGCTCCATGATTTTGCCTGGCACTGAAGTGAGACTGACCGGCCTGTAGTTCCCCGAGTCTTCCTTGTTTCCCTTTTTAAAAATGGGGGTTATGTTCCCCTTAATATTGTTATAGGGTTATGTTCCCCTTTAATATACTCCCTGCTCCTACTAATCTATTTAAAATGGAGGTGTAAACTCCTCACCTTTTGTTGAGTTTATAGAAGTTGACCCCACCTGCAACAGGAGTGTGTTCAGAAAAAATTCTTATTAAAAACTTTAAAATAGTGACACACAAGTTAGAGGCAGTGAAATGTTCAGACATCAAAGCAGCAGTGGGCAATAGAAGTTGGTTTTGGAGCTCTGGAACAGGAATAATGTGATCTGAGCTTCTTTCCAATGATTGATACCAAACTGTAAATGACTGTCAGTGTAAGCAAGAGTACTACCATTAGCTGTGGGGACACAGTGCACTGGCAGCCTAGTAGCTGAATTTTTCACAGCTGTTTTTTGACAGCAAATATACTTACACAATGCTTGCTTGTCCCAATCTATCAGAATACTTAGTGTTTTCCAGGCTCTGGTAGAAGTGAAAGTACGCTAAATGTTGCTTTTATTCTGCAGCTAAGCAGGAAAAAAAAACAGATTAAAACATGTCATGGCCTCACAGAGACATATTTTATATGCATTCCTATAGTGTATACAGCCTTTTTTTGCAGGAATTGTTCTAGCCTGTTCTTGAAAATACTTTCATTTCCCCCTTAAGCTGTTTTAACATCCCATTGGTAAAATTTATAATGAGGATGTGATGCTGACACATAGAGGAACAATGTAAATACATTGTATTAGTCTGTAATTCTCTTTCAGAATGTGTTTTTTAATAAGGCACCTGTTTATATTGAGAAGCAAAAACCTGTAATGCAGTATTTCCTTTGTGAATAATCTATAAGGTTAGCAGACACGTTACAATGAATAAGAAATAATAGTGTGTTTTCCAGCAATCTAGTTTAATAGTTTATTCATATGTCCATGTTTATACATCAAATAAACTTCCAACAAAAAAGTAATGTACGATTCAAGAAAATGCCAAAAGCTATTACAGTTTTGGCTTCCTCTTTGTTGATTTACAATTATGTACAAGACTGTCTTATTTGCAATACCCAGTGAAGATTTAGTGATTTATTTACAACATCAGCTGGTGCCTTTCACTGTTCAACTGAACTATCTCTTTTTTGCTAGTTACATTCATAGTACCAAGAGCACACTCTTAGGTGCATTTACAGATAGGGTTAAGAGGTGGACTGAATCAAGGCAAGATTCTCAGTGCTGCCCACAAACATATCTCTGAAATCCCACTTTCAGGTAAAACTGAAGATTCCAGCATCTAGTGCACTGATACAACCATTATATTTGCAGTCAACATAATAAGGTGTCTCCACTGAGAATAACATTCCCATTCATATCAGAGGGAAATATGTGCTAGCTGAAGGCAATATATACTTTAAGCTGCAGCAGACAAAAGACTATGATGCACCTTACTTATCCTGCCAGATACCTTCAAAGCAAATGAAGACCAAGTATGCTATCTTTATAAATGTGTAGAGAAGAATCTTTTACAGTTCTTACATAAGAGATTAAATTAGGAGGGGAAAACATTATAATTTTATTATAATAGACAAACTGTTTCATAGAATCACAGAATAACTTGGGTTGGAAGGGATCTGTGAAGATCATCTATTCCGAATCATTCAAAGTAGGGCCAACTTCACAGTTAGAGCCAGCTTTCAACTTAGAGCAGTTTGTTCAGGGCTGAGTCCAGTCAAGTTCTGAATATCTCCAAGGATGGAGACTGCACAACCACTGAGCATCTCTTCCCATGTTCAACCATCCTTATGATAAGAAAACTCTAACACCTCATCAGGACTTGACTGTATAATCTGAGCCCATTGAATCAATGTCCTTCTGTTGACAACAATAATTTTAGAGCATCTCTAAACCAAACATAACAAGGGTTATTCTTTCAGCTTGTTGGGAGAAACAATTCATTTTTTTCAAGCTATTTCCTGATACCTAGTCAGTAGGGTACCACTGCTTGAAATATTTTCACAGCTTGTATTTCAGTGCAAGATATGTACCATCCATTGGCATCAAGAAATCAATGCTACAGTTGCACTTCCTTCATCTGTGATAAATCTAATATTTTGCAACATAGCTGTTGCTGAACAGTGTGCTTATGAGAGCATAACTAGATGCAAATTACTCACACAAAATTCATGATGGTTTCACCTTAGAATTTTCTCAATAAAGACAAAAACTCTTTGTTTGAGGGCAAAAGTCAGGAGACTCTATTATAACTACATGTGCCTGAGCTTTTTAAATCCCTGTTTTGCCATTGTCTGTTATCCCTTCTGATCATCAAACTTCTGTCTCTCACAGCTTGAAAGATGCAATCTGCAGTAGAGCTTCCTCCAGTAACAAAAGCTTCTCCTAGCTGAAACGCCTTTCTAATGTCTAGATAAAAGCAGCCACTCACCCAGTCTTTCCTTCTCCACAAAACATCACATGACTGTCTAGAGGTCATGTACCCTTTACTTCCCTCACCCTGGTGAATGAAGAAAACAGACAAACTAGAATCAGCTCAGTCTTCATATTCAGCCTTAAAATCCACCTATGGTACATCTTACCCCACAGTGAGAACACTTACAGTCAGATATGACAAAGTACTGTATCCAAACTGGAAAATCTCATGGTAATGCTTTCCTCTTACATAATACATATTTTATGACAGTAACAGTCATAACTGGCATACAAACCTGCTGATATGAATGTATATATTGGTCATAACTGTCAGAGCGAGGTATGTGAACTCTGATTACTGGAGTTACTTCTCTGATTTTATGTTTTCAGAAGGAAATAGCAAAAAACCTGTTAATTCTGGACATCAAAATAAGCTGTACTTTATCTAGAGAGACAAAGAATATCAAGAGAAACACATGCTGAGAGGCTGATGGGCTCATTCGCGCAGCAGGCGACACTCCTTGCATTTAGCAGAAAGAAAAATAAGGCTATCCCTGTATAATCCTCTTATAAGATCCAGACTTCAGTAGAGTAAATGAGATTCAGAATATTCTTTCTCCCCATAATACAGAGTCACAGAGTAGCTCCTACAACCAGTGTGAGAACAGCACATGGAGGGAAAGAAAGGTAAAGTTGCATTTAAAAATTGGTTTCTGAATGCCACAGAAATTGTGAATGGAGAAAGATGTTCTATAGGCATTTCAGCACAATTTCGAGATGCAGCAAGATGTTGCATTTCGATTCTCTTCCCTGGTTTGGTTTTGTTTTCTTAGTACTTGTTTGATAACCCACAGACCATTCTCAGGCTAAAGCAACAAATTATCTCTTTGAAGGTCTTCCTCATTTCCTGGCTACGAAAGGCATAGATCAAGGGATCAACCACTGAGTTGCACATAATGAGAATGAGGTACATGTTGAAGTGAGACATGAAGCAAACACAGTAGAGGTTTTGAGGGCAGGAGATCATCAGGATGAGATGAAGGAAGAATGGAGCCCAGCAAACAATGAAGATGCCAAGAAGCATAGTCAGAGTGATGGCTCCTTTCATGCTGGTTCTTTGACGAACAGAGTTGCACCCAGGTAAAGCAGCTATTTTCTTCACGTGAGTACGAGCCAGGAGGAACATATGGATATACAGCGAGACCATGAGGAATAACATGGTAAAAAACATAGTGATGAGACAAATGATCACATATGTTGATTCATAATAAAGAATGAAGATAATGCCACAGCCTGTGCAAAAGATCCAGATGCATGCAATAATAAGCCCTGATCTTTTCACTGTCATAATGTTGTGGTAACGCAGGGCATAGAAGATAGTGATATACCTGTCTACTGCTATAGCCAGCAAACTGCACATGGAAGCCACCACAGATATGCAGATCATTGAATCAAAGACATTGTCTATATGACGGACAAAAGCATCTTCCATAATTATATGCCTGTTGTTTATTAAGTAAATCGTTATGGTCTCCCAAGCATTAGACACGCTAACCAGCATGTCAGCCACTGCTAAACTGCAAACAAAAAAATACATGGGTGAATGCAAGTTCTTGTTCTTAACTATTGCACATATAACTAAGATATTTTCCAGGAGGCTTACAATGCCCAGAGTTAGGAACACCTCAGTAGTAATGACCACTTGTTCACATGGCGATGACTTGCTCTTGACAGTAGGCACAGTAAAGTTGTTGCCAAAGGCACTCAGGTTTAGTTCAGAAACATACAGTTGAGAGGATGTGTTCATTTCTGGAAGCAAACACGTTCTGTTCTTTCTGAGGGACTTGCCAAGGAGTGTGGTAAATGCATTTTCCAAAAGGCAAAAGACCCTGTCAAAAAAAATACAGCATGACAAGAACAGGCAGAAGCTGACAAAACAAATATCACCCATTTCTATTTAATTTGGCTTGTACACATCCTGCCTCTTCAACACCATATTCCTCTATTGATTCTAAATTATCCTCCAATTGGCTCAGAGTTTTTCTACTCATTCTTACTGGGAAATTAAAGCCACAAACTAAGAGATGCATGTGCTCTTCTTTCATAGTTTTAGTTACTCTATTCAGTCCCCCAGAAGTAAGCACAGTGTCCTGGAAATTCTGATGAACACAAAACAACAAACAGTTTTCAGAGTCTTAATTCTCAGAGCCCAGAAATGCAGGAGAATACAGTATTAGGTTCATCAGAACCTGCTCACTTGAATACAATATATAGAAGTTTGAAAATTTTCAGTAAAAGATGTAAATGCTTTCCTTACATTTATACTTCTCAAGTTTGCATGAACTGTGTTAGAAACAGCTCATTTGTGCAATACTAGCATGCTCACTTAAGGGAATGGTATTAAACCCCTTAGCAAGGCAAATCCATACATTGCAGGACAGACTAAGGTTACGGAATCAGTATGGGTGGAATTCTGTCATAAAAATAAATTTTCTATTCTAGATTGTGAGTATTTTATTCAATGCTCTTTCAGTAATTAGAATATCCAGGGCAAGTTGTAAGCCATCGGATTCTTAATAAGGGGAACACCTAAAGCTGATTGTCAGTGACTTGTTGCAAATAAAAATCAAAGCTTATCAATCTAAATCATTTTCAGTTTTGAAAAGTAAGATTTTGTTTGCAATCAAGAATTAACCGTACCTATTTGCCAGAGCTCCTTCAGCTGTTCTTCCTCTTCATTGTCTCTGCAACCTTTCCTCCAGAGAGCAGAAGTTTCAGCCCCGCTCCTCACCCCACATCTGGGGCCGGGGACTCCTTGGTAGGAATGGATGACAAAAATAAAGGAAAAGGAATGAGTAAATCCATAGAGTCAAGGCTGGCCACGTATAAATTACTTACTGTGCAACTGCCTTTTTATAGACTCCAAGCAATAATGACTTCAGTTCTCAGACGGTGGCTCCTCCTCCCCTTCTTTGCCTCTCTGAACTTTTCTTTTCCACAGATTTTGGTAGCAAAGTCTTGGGTTTCTACCACCATCTAGTGGTGCTCTCTTGCTTTTCTAAGGAATAGTGATTCTGATTCATGATGAGCTTTTTAAAATATTAAAGGAACAAATGTAATAGGCATGCTCCTTTAAAAAAAATAAAATATTTTTTGTGTTTGTTCTCTCTGCTGCTGTTGCTAGTACTCACTGACAATAAGTTCATACTGCTATAAAACCTCAAAAGAGGTGAGAGCCAAAGACTGTTACTGAAGCAGAAGGCTTACTACTTTTATAAGCATTTGTCTTATATTAACTTATATTCACAGTTATAATTTTGCAAGACTAAGAACCACAGTTACATGACTCAGAGAATGTATAGTCAAGCCCATCACACCCCTAATAGAGGACATAACCCAAGTAATTTGTGTGAAAAAATAGAACAAATAAAAGGTTGTCTTCTGGTGCCCTTGCTGGAATAGAGATTTTGATGCAGATGTGGAACGAGTACACAGCACACTGTGCTGGGAGCCAGGGCTTCCCGAGACAGATGTGCGCTCCTCCGGTTTCACAGGGTCTAAAAGCTGGGAAACAAAATGCTCAGTGTTGCATGGCTGAAGTCCCTCTTTGGGTCCAGCAGACAGGCAGTCTATGCTCATTCCGGGCCTTACCCAAAAAGTGGCAAAATCAGTGCGAGTCTCTTCTTTAGCGAATGAGCACCACTTCTGTGTGCAGACTGAGGAATGTAAAGCACACACCTTCCTGACACTACTAAATGCTCTTCATGTTATCCACTAGCCAACCAGTCTCTGCTTCTCCAAATCATCATCTTTCCACAAATTAAGGAGCTGAGTTTTTTTCACAGTACATAACAGCTTCAAATACTTATTCTTAACCTATAGCGTTTTTCTTAAAGAATCACCACCAACAAACACAAACTTTATTGCTGTATCCTGTGCCATTTTTGTGTTTTCAGTGTTGAGACAGATTTTATTGTTATAATGCAGCTAAATCCATATTTCTGATTATTATGTTTGACAGAAGCTTGCTCTATTGTTACTGCTAGCTTCATTCTAGGGACACTGAAACAGTCCCTGTGCCAAAGGAAATAGTGAAAAGCACTTTTATTAATTTGTGTAAAATGGCTTCTCTAGCGTTATGCAGTTATGGTCTGGAGATGGACTTTGCCTGCTCCTTCGCCCAACTACAGGAAAGCGGATTTAGATTATCACAAAACAGATATAGCAAACTATGCTCAAGTGCAACTGTTAGACCTGAGTAGATAATGCCAGCTATTGAGCAGCAACACTCCCCTGTTGTACCTAACCCACCTGTGTGCCAAATCTGAGCTCACAGTTCTTTGCTATGCCTAAAAGAAAAGAACAAAGGAAGTCCATCTGCAGTTCATTTTCTGTTCTTTAATGTACGGCAAGTTTTAGTTCTCCTAGGTTGTCTTTAAGTAACTTTTCTTAGTTATCTTTAGGTAACTTTTCTTAGTTATCTTTGATTACCTTTTGCATAGGTTCTTATTTTCCCACTGTAGACCCTGGAAATCATATACCTAGGAATAAAATTTTACTTCTTTCACTGTTCCTGTATCTACCAAAACTGTGCAGTAGCTGTGCTCTTTCCAGTTCCAATTATTTCTCTTCCAGTATCCTATATTTTGTTTATTACACTTTATCTTTAAATTCTATTCATCTTCTTCCTGTTTACAAATTTCTCTGTATGTTCAGTTTAATAGAGTCCTTTGCAGGCCAACTTAGCTGCCTTTACAAAAGTTCTCACTGTACCTGGTAGGACTCAGTACACCAGCTGATTACAATAAATAAATCACACATCAGACTGGATGGTTTGGCTATTATTCCTTAGAGCAATGCCTGGTCTCTCACGTATAAATTATGAATCAGCCTTTAGATTCTTCTTCCACAGGCCAGGTGTAAACCCTAGTACAAGTGTCTATGCTAGAAAGAAGTAAAATACGATGCCAAACAGGGGGGCCTGTGTTGGTCCCATGCCATTTCTTTCCGTTATGAAGTGGTAAGAGAGCAGAAAGCCAATTCAGACACATATCTGCCTGCCAGGCTTCATCAGTGACCAGAGTGGGAGCCGTGACAGCATCACTGACAGAAACACCCAGCCCCTGCCTGCCACCAGCACCACCAGTGATCACAACAAAGCTCATCTTTGCTCAGCACATCTGCTGGGACAGGAGAGGTCGTGACTACCCTGACCCATAGGTTAAGTTACATCATGTCAAAACCAGCAGGGGATTGCATGCTGCCTTCATGGCAGTAAGGTACTGATTTTATCAATGAATGCGTAAATGAGGCCAATGGTAAAATGTGCTCCTGAAGGAGCTTCTGTAAGAAGAGCTTATTACACTCAGATGCATTCTGGTATTAAACTGTGCTAAACTTAACAGGTTCAGAGAAGAGGTTTGCTGAAGCTAATACATATCTACCCAAGTTTTCTAGTGCTAATACACTGAACCAATTTAATTCCAGTGTCCTTCCATAGCTATTTTTATCTGCAAAAAAAAAAAAAAAAAAGTTTGTCCTTCATAATATAGCTTTGGATGGGTGCTCTTGGCCTATTTACAAAATCTCTCTTCTGTCTGCTCCTTGCCAATGCTGTCATTAACATAGCATTTCAGGGTATCCTCTCAGACTGCATTCTGCTCTAAGAGATAACCCATGGATCCAGGGCAAAAGTGAAGATCATGGTCTTCTCTGCTTTTGGATATATAATCACATGGCAAATGTTCTCTAACTTCTCAAACTGAGAAAACTATTTCTCTTGACCCCCAAATCTTAGATTTGACTGAGCCCCATCAAAGTTCCCACTATTACCTCCCCAGCATTACCATCTAGTTAGCCTTTAATAAATACAAGCAATTATAGCATCTTAGAATCATAGAATCATTTTGGTTGGAAAAGACCTTTAAGATCATCAAGTCCAACCATAAACCTGACACTGCCAAGTCTACCTCTAAACCATGTCCCTAAGCACCACATGTGCATGTCTTTTAAATACCTTCAGGGATGGTGACTCAACCACTTCGCTGGGCAGCCTGTTCCAATGCTTGACAACATTTTCAGTGAAGAAATTTTTCCTAATAGCCAATCTAAACTTTCCCTGGTGCAACTTGAGGCCATTTCCTCTTGTACTGTCACTTCCTACTTGGGAGAAGAGACTGACATCCACCTCACTACAATCTCTTTCCAGGTAGTTGTAGAGAGCAATGAGGTCTCCCCTCAGCCTCCTTTTCTCCAGGCTAAACAACAACAGTTGCCTCTGCTGCTCCTCATAAGACTTGTTCTCTAGACCCTTCACCAGCTTTGTTGCCCTTCTTTGGGCACACCCAGCACCTCAATGTCTTTCTTGCAATGAGGGGCCCAAAACTGAACACAGTATTTGAGGTGCAGCCTCACCAATGCAGAGTACAGGGGGACAATCACTCCCTTAGTCCTGGAAAGTGGCTTGGTGAGCGCTTTGGCCAGTTCCCTCAGTACCCCTGGGTGGATCCTATCAGGCCCCATAGACTTGTGTATATCTAAGTGGTGTAGCAGGTTGCTAACCATTTCCCCTTGGATTATGGGGGCTTCATTCTGCTCCCCATCCCTGTCTTCCAGCTCAGGGGGATGACAACAACTGGTCCTACTATTAAAGACTGAGGCAAAGAAGGCATTAAGTACCTCAGCCTTTTCTTCATCCTTTTTCACTATGTTTCCCCACCAAAGGAAAGGATGGAGATTCTCCTTAGCCCTCCTTTTGTTGCTAACATATTTATAGAAACATTTTTTGTTGTCTTTTAAAACAGTAGCCAAATTAAGTTCTAGTTGGGCTTTAGTCATTCTAATTTTCTCCCTGCCTACCCTCATGACATCCTTGTAGTCCTCCTGAGTAGCCTGCCCTTTCTTCCAAAGGTCATAAACTCTTTTTTATCCTGAGTTCCAGACAAATCTCTTTGTTCAGCCAAGCTGATCTTCCGTGCCAGCTCATCTTAAGGCACATGGAGACAGCCTGCTCCTGTGCATTTAAGATTTCCTTCTTGAGGAATGTCCAGCCTTCCAGGACTCCTTTGCCCTTCAAGACTGTCTCCCAGGGGACTCTGTCAACCAGGCTCCTAAGCAGGGCAAAGTCTGTCCTCTGGAAGTCTAGGGCAGCAATTCTGCTAATCCCCCTCCTTCTCCAAGAACTGCGAACTCTTATCGTTTTGTGATCACTATGCCCAAGACAGCCTCCAATCATCACATCACCCACAAGTCCTTCTCTGTTCATGAACAACAGGTCCAGAGGGGCACCTTCCCTAGTTGGCTGACTCACCAGCTGTGTTAGGAAGTTATCTTCCACACATTCCAGGAACTTCCTAGACTGTTTCCACTGTATTGTATTTCAAGCATATATCCGGTAAGTTGAAGTCCCTCACAAGAACAAGGGCTAGCAATCTTGAGACATCTCCCAGATGCTTATAGAATATTTTGACTGCCTCTTCATTCTGGTGGGATGGTCTGTAACAAACTCTCACCATGATATTTGCTTTGTTGAACTTCCCCCTCATAAACAATCAATGCTATTGTCACCACCATAAAGCTCTAGACAGCCAAAACACCCCCTAACTTACAGGGTTACCCCACCACCTCTCCTTCCTTGTCTATCCCTTCTGAAGAGTTTATAGATGTCCATTGCAGCACTCCTGTCATCTGAGTCATCTCACCATGCTTCCATGATGGCAACTGTGTCGTAGTTTTCCTGCTGCATAAATGTCTTCCAGTTCCTCCTGTTTGTTGCCCACACTGCATGCATTGCTGTAGATGCATTTCAGTTGGGCTATTGATCCTGCCATCTTTTTCAGGGAAGTCCTAATTCCTATGTGACCATACTCAGAAAA